AAATGAAGAATTTCTCCTTTCTTGCTGTATTAACCTGTCTAATAGATGTGACCCGGGGTGGTGAGACTCGCTGTGTGTGCCTATTGTCTTGGAATCTGTCACATGATTTGTGCTGTTCTGAGCTTAGTCTTGCTGAAAGGCGGAGTCAGAGTGCGTTCACCTAATCACGGGTTCAAATTGTCCCACATTACAGCCAGGACTGATATTTCAGTGTTTGGGAGATGCTGGAGAGGTAAACCCCATGGTAGTCTCTTCTGTCTCTCCGGGACGCTGTTAGTGTGATCTCCCGGGTCTGTACACCCACTGTGCCCATTATGAGGGGTTCCCACCATCCCTGTGCCCATTATGAAGGGTTCCCACCCATCTCTGTGCCGAGTTCCTGGGTCTGTACACCCGCTGTGCCCATTATGAGGGGTTCCCACCATCCCTGTGCCCATTATGAAGGGTTCCCACCATCTCTGTGCCGAGTTCCCTGGGTCTGTACACCCGCTGTGCCCATTATGAGGGGTTCCCACCATCCCTGTGCCCCCCAGGTCTGGGTTCCCCCACTGTGCCCATTATGAGGGGTTCCCACCATCCCTGTGCCCATTATGAGAGGGGTTCCCACCATCCCTGTGCCCATTATGAGGGTTCCCACCATCTGTGCCCATTATGAGGGGTTGTACACCATCTCTGTGCCGATGTGAGGGTCTGTACCCACCCAGCTGTGCCCATTATGAGGGTTCCCACCATCCCTGTGCCCATTATGAGGTCCGAGGCTGTGCATCCTGGCCCATTATGAGGGGTTCCCACCATCCCTGTGCCCATGAAGGTTCTGGGTTCCCACCATCCCTGTGCCCATTGGGGGGTTTCCCACCATCCCTGTGCCCATTATGAGGGGATTTGATCTGTGTCCCAGTAAACCCGGGTTCCCACCATCGAAGAAGCCCTTCCTGTCGCCCCACTCCCCTGTGCCCATTATGAGGGGTTCCCACCATCTCTGTGCCCATTATAATTTCCCACCATCCCTGTGCCCATTGGGGGGTTTCCTGGGTCTGCCCACATCCCTGTGCCCATTGGGGGGTTTCCCACCATCCCTGTGCCCATTATGAGGGTTCCCACCATCTCTGTGCCGAGTTCCCGGGTCTGTACACCCGCTGTACCCATTATGAGGGTGTTCCCACCCGGTATGTGCCCACCACCCTGTGCCCATTGAGGGGTTCCCACCACCCTGTGCCCATTATGAGGGGTCCCACCATGGGCGTGTGTAACTTCTGTGAATAGGTAAGGGTAGCAGGTTGATTGGGAACCAAGGAACTGGGGGAACTGGCGAATTTTTTGTGACACATAAAGGAGCAGAAATCTCAGTTTTGGATGGAGTAACCCTTTATTAGGGGTTCCCCCCAGTTTCCCAATGGCCCATTATATAGAGGGTCCGAGGCTGTGCATCTGGCAACCAATAAGGTTTATTTTTTCTTGCTGCTGTTACATAACATCTGGGATGTACATACACTGGGTGAGCCCACCATTTCCCATGTCCAATCAGATTTGAGGTCCAGTAAACCTGGATGGAAGATCGCCCTGTCGCCCACTCTGACCTCCGACCTTTTATGCAAAGCCCACCACCCGTTGCTAGCCTCATAATTCATATCACACCTGCTTATTTTCTCCCTTCTTGGCGGGTTCCACTATAAGGCCCCCTGGGTTTCCTGGAAATAGCACTCACTGCTTTATCTCTCCCGTGTCTGGATCGTAGCTGGGAGGAAAGACGGACCGCCTCGGGGCGCATCAGTACTTAAACCACATCACCCGGACCACCCAGGGAGCGCCCAACCCGGTAAGTGTGACCACCATCACTCCGCTCTATGTATTGCTGGGACTGTGTAAGGGCCAGTCCCGAGGATTACATGACCTGGGGTCCTGGGCGGGGTTAGGTGGTAGGTACACTATTCCTTTTTTTGAGGGCGTGCAATTTTTGTAATATAGCATTACATTATTACCCATTCCTTGTTTCATACTTTCTGAGGTTTTGGCTCAATATTTATGTACACATATTGATATTGCTCATTAATTGTACACAGCATGTACATACACCTCAGTCCCAGTCCTCATGGATCATACAATCTGAGGTCCCTGGCTCACGTGTGTACACATACGAGGGCTGCTTACCCTACCAGCATGTACATACACCTCAGTCCCAGTCCTCATGGATCATACAATCTGAGGTCCCTGGCTCACGTGTGTACACATACGAGGGCTGCTTACCCTACCAGCATGTACATACACCTCAGTCCCAGTCCTCATGGATCATACAATCTGAGGTCCCTGGCTCACGTGTGTACACATACGAGGGCTGCTTACCCTACCAGCATGTACATACACCTCAGTCCCAGTCCTCATGGATCATACAAATCTGAGGTCCCTGGCTCACGTGTGTACACATACGAGGGCTGCTTACCCTACCAGCATGTACATACACCTCAGTCCCAGTCCTCATGGATCATACAATCTGAGGTCCCTGGCTCACGTGTGTACACATACGAGGGCTGCTTACCCTACCAGCATGTACATACACCTCAGTCCCAGTCCTCATGGATCATACAATCTGAGGTCCCTGGCTCACGTGTGTACACATACGAGGGCTGCTTACCCTACCAGCATGTACATACACCTCAGTCCCAGTCCTCATGGATCATACAATCTGAGGTCCCTGGCTCACGTGTGTACACATACGAGGGCGCTTACCCTACCAGCATGTACATACACCTCAGTCCCAGTCCTCATGGATCATACAATCTGAGGTCCCTGGCTCACGTGTGTACACATACGAGGGCTGCTTACCCTACCAGCATGTACATACACCTCAGTCCCAGTCCTCATGGATCATACAATCTGAGGTCCCTGGCTCACGTGTGTGTACACATACGAGGGCTGCTTACCCTACCAGCATGTACATACACCTCAGTCCCAGTCCTCATGGATCATACAATCTGAGGTCCCTGGCTCACGTGTGTACACATACGAGGGCTGCTTACCCTACCAGCATGTACATACACCTCAGTCCCAGTCCTCATGGATCATACAATCTGAGGTCCCTGGCTCACGTGTGTACACATACGAGGGCTGCTTACCCTACCAGCATGTACATACACCTCAGTCCCAGTCCTCATGGATCATACAATCTGAGGTCCCTGGCTCACGTGTGTACACATACGACGGCTGCTTACCCTACCAGCATGTACATACACCTCAGTCCCAGTCCTCATGGATCATACATCTGAGGTCCCTGGCTCACGTGTGGACACATACGAGGGCTGCTTACCCTACCAGCATGTATTGGCGTGTTTTTTATTATTAGTTGTTCCTGCAGTGTGTATTGCCAGAACCGTAAAGCTATCACGGGGGACTAGGAGTTACTGTTGTGAATTGGGGTCCTGGGTGGGGTTAGGTTGGTAGGTAACGGAGCGTTTTTAGCCCTCGCACACAAAGGATGTTATAAAAACGCCATTAGCGGTAGATGTAGAAAGCCGCATAAAAACACAAGTTTGGCCACGTTTTTGCAGCAAAACAAAAACTCTCTATTTTTAACTCCCACTTTCCCACAATGCACCCCTGAACAGTCATTGTGCAGTTTAGTCGCCATTTGATGTTTCATCTGCGTGGAGCACAAGCATGCTCTTGGCCAAGCTAAACGTGAGCTACGTGAAGATGAGAAAAATCTTCTGCGTGGAGCCACACGGCGTGTCCATTGCGGAAAATAATGCTTGAGGCTCAAAAACGCGCCTAGCGGCATTTAACGGTGTTAGAGATTTTTTACATCTGAAAAACTCCTCTGTAGTTCTGTTTTTGTTTGGTGTTTTTTTTTTTTTTTTTTGTTTTTTGGTTTTTTTTTTTTTTTTTTTTTGGGTTTTGTTTTGTGTTTTTTTTTTTTTTTTTTTTTCTCAGCCTGAAAACACCCCTGCCAAAAAAACACTGATAAAGGCCCATGTGTGCACGGACACGCAGGATAGCATTTTTCTGCTTTAATTTATGTTCTAAATTCTGTACAAACTGCTGGCGCTATATACCGTATTTTTCGCTCCATAAGACGCACCTAGGTTTTAGAGGGGAAAAACAAGAAAAAAAAAATATTCTGAACCAGTGGACTGCAGACACAGTACAGGGGATGACCAGAGACTGCAGACACAGTACAGGGGATGACCAGAGACTGCGGACACAGTACAGGGGATGACCAGAGACTGCGGACACAGTACAGGAGATGACCAGAGACTGCAGACATAGTACAGGAGATGACCAGAGACTGCGGACACAGTACAGGAGATGACCAGAGACTGCGGACACAGTACAGGAGATGACCAGGAGATGACCAGAGACTGCGGACACAGTACAGGAGATGACCAGAGACTGCGGACACAGTACAGGAGATGACCAGAGACTGCGGACACAGTACAGGAGATGACCAGAGACTGCGGACACAGTACAGGAGATGACCAGAGACTGCGGACACAGTACAGGAGATGACCGTGAGGACTGGAGATGACCAGAGACTGCGGACACACAGTACAGTACAGGATGACCAGAGACTGCGGACACAGTACAGGAGATGACCGGAGAGACTGCGGACAAGTACAGGAATGACCAGAGACTGCAGACATAGTGGGTACAGGAGATGACCAGAGACTGCGGACACAGTGCAGGGGAATGACCAGAGACTGCGGCAGACATAGTACAGGAGAAATGACCAGAGACTGCGGACACAGGTACAGGAGATGACCAGAGACTGCAGACAGTGCAGGGAATGACCAGAGACTGCAGAGGGTGATAGTACAGGAGAGATGACCAAGACTGCGGACACAGTACAGGAGATGACCAGAGACTGCGGACACAGTGCAGGGGATGACCAGAGACTGCAGACACAGTACAGGAGATGACCAGAGACTGCGGACACAGTACAGTGCAGGGGATGACCAGAGACTGCGGACACAGTACAGGAGATGACCAGAGACTGCGGACACAGTGCAGGGGATGACCAGAGACTGCGGACACAGTACAGGAGATGACCAGAGACTGCGGACACAGTGCAGGGATGACCAGAGACTGCGGACACAGTACAGGAGATGACCAGAGACTGCGGACACAGTACAGGAGATGACCAGAGACTGCAGACATAGTACAAGAGATGACCAGAGACTGCGGACACAGTACAGGAGATGACCAGAGACTGCGGACACAGTACAGGAGATGACCAGAGACTGCGGACACAGTACAGGGGATGACCAGAGACTGCGGACACAGTACAGGAGATGACCAGAGAACTGCGGACACAGTGCAGGGGATGACCAGAGACTGCGGACACAGTGCAGGGGATGACCAGAGACTGCGGACACAGTGCAGGGGATGACCAGAGACTGCGGACACAGTGCAGGGGTATGACCAGAGACTGCGGACACAGTGCAGGGGGATGACCAGAGACTGCGGACACAGTGCAGGGGGATGACCAGAGACTGCGGACACAGTGCAGGGAATGACCAGAGTAAGACTGCAGACCTTTGGGGAGGGAGGGGGAGCGGGTACCTGAATTTGACAGGTACCCGCTCCCACTTCCGCGGAGTTGTCCTTCCTTCCTTCTTCCCGGGCCGGCTTCTGTGACAGCCGGGTGCCCACTGCGCATGCGCGAGAAGCGCTGCGCTTTGTGAATGACCCGGCGCCTTCTGAGACCTGTCATGTGTCCCAGAAGACACCGGATCATTCACAAAGCGCAGCGCTTCTCGCGCATGCGCAGTGGGCACCCGGCTGTCACAGAAGCCGGCCCGGGAAGACTGCAGTGCTGGAGCGAGGAACAGGTAAGGCCCTGCAGGAGACAACAGCTGAGCGGCCGGCCCCTGGTATTCTGACATGGTGGGCGGCAGAAATACCAGACCGGCCGCCGCTTTATATTCGCTCCATAAGACGCACTGACATTTTCCCCCTTTTTTGGGGGGGAATATGATGAAGTGAGGATGTGTGTGTTTTTTTGGTTTTCGATTGGGGGGGGGGAATTGCAGAGTAGTGACTGACTGGTCCCCTAGAGCCGGTCCCTCATTTATGGTTCTTATTAATAATGAACATCTAAACCCAAGAACAGAAATTGAATGTTTTGCAGTTTTTAGATGTGATGGTTGCATTGGTTTTTAATTTTTCAGTATTTATTTGAATTTCTTTTAATGTGTTTATCCTGCCAGTAACACACTTCGGAACACAGGGGCCCCTTGCTGCGCTCACCAACACTGGCCTAACCTGTCCTGTCATTTTCCAGGCAGTGAATCTCAATGCAGATTTATTTGGTATTTGTTCCCCAGAGTCCATTTAAAGTGGAGTTTCACTCTATGAATATAACACGCGTGCTTTACTGCATGTTGTGGGTTCAGTAACACGTCAAGCATTGTGATGTCAGATTCAGGGTCTGCACCTTCTACAGGCTGGTGGTGATGTCATAGTTCAGAGTATTTCACACAATAGATCTCCTTTGTTTCCTCAAACACATTGTCTCAATTCCTGAATGTTGAGTGTAATGGCGCTGGTTGGTTTTGCTGCGTTTTGCTCTCCTTTTGGTGCTCAATCTTTACTGTGATCATATCGGTTCATCAAAATGTTTATCTCTGTGATGGTGTCACCCCCCCCCCCCCCTCCAGGCCGGCATCGGAGTACTCCAGTCCCGGGAGGCCTCTGAGCTGTTTTGTAGATGAAAACACGCCTATCACAGGGACCAACGGATGCCACCAGCGGCCAGAGCTCGGACCCCCGCATCGTGGAAAGGAGAGTGCGGTCACAGCGACACAGGAATTACATGAGCAGAACGCATCTACACACCCCTCCTGACCTGCCCGAGGGATATGGTGAGTCCCAGCACCGTCTGGAGAGGGGGGAACGGGGGTGACAGATGTGATGGGTGGGGAATAGAGTCCTGTGGGCTGGTCTGTTCCTGCACACCTGACCCGACATGGCCCTAATCAAATCATTTCGCAGAGTTTGCACCCTATCAACCCACCTTAAGGGTTTGTTTTTTTTTTTCTTGTTTTTTTAGACTTTTTTAATTTTTTTTCAATCAAGCTTTCATTACTAGAGACCGCTCTACAGTAAGACTGGGCTGTTAGTGGGGCGTGTGTTATAGGAGACTACTGCTACGTTACAGGAGACTGATAGAGATGGGTGCCATGTTATTACTTACAGAGGACCTGTACTAAGACTAGCAGTGCCTTAGATGATCTCACACTGCAGATTGTACAGCTATGAGGAGTGCCTAGGCACAGGATGTACACTGCTTTTTCAGGAGCAATTCAGGACAAAGGTACGTTCTTTACATTAACCATTTCTGGATGTTCCCTATAAATCTTTACTTCTGAGTTCACTCCCACTTTAACACCAGAACGGGGCCGCTCTTTGCATGATTCCCAGTAATGAACAAGACCTTCCTCAAGCAGGCCAACAGTGGTACTGTACTGCAGGTCAACCATTCTGAATGTAAGAATTCAGGCCCATTCAAAGGGCCTGGGGGGGTGTTGTGTCAGGTTATGGAGGAGGCCCGCGTACTGTAATAATTGGCTTAGATCACAGAAAGTGCACTTTGTAGGCCCAAGGTGGGGTCACTCCCCTTTGGTTTTGGGGGCTTTAGGTGTGGCCCCTGAAACTTTTTGGGGCCCACACAATAATGAATGTAATGCTCCAGAAAAGGTTAAAAAGCAGACATGCAACAGGGACGGGGCAAAACTTGGGTTTTTGCAAGAGAGGTCAGAGGGGGCAAACAAGAATGGACATGCAAAGGAGTTTGGGCTGGTAACAAGGATGTTCGAAGGCTGCATGTACATACACTGCTGGAGAGATCAGGCGGCAAAGGCTGTTGAAATTGGTGAAAAGGGAATTGCTTCAAGAGACAGATGAGCCTTCCAACCCAGGTTCAATGGGAAAACCCAGGGTTCCTCCAGATTTTTTCCCTTGGTGCTTTGAGCAGTGGCTTTTCTTTTG